AAAAAAAAAAAAAGATTTAAAACTGGGTGAGATCACCTAGTGTTACATAGGTGAGTCAGAGAAGGCCTCTGTGTATTGATCTCTGGGTTGTTTATGTCTTCATTGCAGCCTAAGACTGGTTAGTACAAAAATCAAATCTACATTTTTACATAACCAATTATTTTAAACAAATTTTAGGCAATTTTTTAGCCTTTTAGGGCCTGTCTGCTTGCATATCCCCACCGAACTACACCCACCATCTGCTGACCAATTGATAAGACAAGAGTCTTGAACCAGGAACAGTGACTCAGTACTATCATACCAGCATTTTGGGAGCCTCAGGCTGGAGCACTGCCTGAACCCAGGAGATTGAGACCAGCCTGGGCAACATAGCCAGATCTCATCTTTACAAAAACAAAAACAAAAAAATTAAAAATTAAAAAATAGCTAGGTATGGTGACGGCTACCTGTAGTCCCAGCTACTCAAGAGGCTGAGGTGAAAGGATCACCTGAAACCAGGAGGTTGAAGCTACAGTGAGCTGTGATTGTGCCACGCATCCCGGCCTGGGTGACAGAGTGAGACTCAAACTCAGAGAAAGAGATAAAGTCTTGAGGTTATAAGACCTCAAGTTGCTCCTGCCTGATGGAGCTGTCTGACCTAGAAACTCCCATAATGCTACTGAGCAATGTCACCCAGACCCATAAGCCCTAAGTCTGATACCCCTCTGCCTCGGGGGGTACCCTTGCCCTCCCTCCTCCCCTTCATGTAGCAACCCCTGGGCTGTGGCCCCTGGACACTCTTGCTGTGAGGAACTTCCCTCTCTCCTCTATGCAAACCTGTCAGGGTGTCACTGTCATCCAGTAAACCACGTGTGTGCTGCTGCCACCTCACGGTCACATCTTTTTCTTTGAGCAGTCCTCAAATCCTTCGAATATCCTAGGGAGTGAGTTTAGGCAAGAAAGGGAAGAGGTGTAGCAGCTGAGACCTGAGGCAGGTCAGTGTTTAGAAGTCTCAGAGATGAGGAGGAACCAGCAAAAGAGATGCAGAAAGACCAGAGAGGTAAGAGGGAAACCGGGAGATGGAGGCCAAGTGAGAACATCTGTCCCAAAGAGAGGGGCGGATGGTGTCAAACACTGCTGATGGATGGGTCTGGAGGACCAAGAAGGAGCTCTGGATTTCATACCGCTGCTCCTGGCTACAGCTGATCCCCTGTTTCATCTGCACCACAATCCCTCTCTTCACTTCACTGATATCAGTGATCAACAAACTTTTTCTCAAAGGGGCAGATAGTGAAGAGTTCAGGTTTTGAGGCCATATGGTCTCTATCGCAACCGTACAACTCTGCCACGGCATGAGAGCAGCCATGGGCAATATGTAAACAAACGAAGATGGCTGTGTTCCAGCGAAACTTTGGTTTGAATCTGTCATTTTCCCATGTCACTTATTTATTTATTTTTTTTTTTTGAGTTGGAGTCTCACTCTGTCGCCCAGACTGGAGTGCAGTGGCATGCCCCCGGCCACCGCAGCCTCAACCTGCTGGGCTCCGGCCATCCTTCCGCCTCAGCCTTCCAAGTAGCCAGAACTACAGACGTGTGCTACCACGCCTGGCTAATTTTTGATTTTATTGTAGAGACAAGCTCTCTCGCCAAGTTCCCCAGGTGGGTCTCAAACCTGCGGGCTCAGGTAATCCACTCGCCTCAGCCTCCCAAAATGCTGGGATTACAGGCTGAACCACTGAGTCCGGACATCACATTTTTTTTTTTTTTAACGTTTCCCCCCTGCAACATTTAAAAATGCAAAAACTAGCCGGGCTCGGTGGCTCAGCCTGTAATCCCACGTCTTTGGGAGGCTGAGGTGAGTGGATTGCCTGAGCCCGCGGGTTTGAGACCCGCCTGGGCAGCCAGACCTCATCTCTACAATAAATCAAAAATTAGCCGGGCATGGTAGCACGCGCCTGTAGTTCCAGCTACTTGGAAGTCTGAGGCGGAAAGATCGCTGGAGCCCAGCAGGTCGAGGCTGCGGTGGCCGGGAGTGGCCACTACACTCCAGTCTGGGCTACCGAGTGAGACTCCAACTCAAAAAATAAAAAAAATAAATAAAAATGCAAAAAATTTTTAGCTTGCAGGCCATACCAAAAAAAACCTGCAGTGGGCTAGGTTTGACCTGTGGGCTGTGGTTTGCTGATCCCTGATTGAAATCAATTACACTTTATTATCTTCTGTCTTGCTTGAATCTCTCACATGTGACTCTAGTTTATATCACATGTAGCTTTTCCTTGTGTCATCCAGGGCGATGGAAAAGAATTGAGGCCACTTTACCCACCTAAGGATGTGACTAAGGAAAATACTTTCAGAAGGCAAGGAACTTCTGCTGTCATTTCCCCCACCCTCTGGATTAATTTCTCCACTTTTTAAAGTTTGCTGGTTTAGAGTGATAGCACTAAACAGACCAAACAGCCAACAGATTGAGCCCACCCACATTTCAGAACAAAATGTCTTTAGCACCGTATTACCTGACAAAGTGAAAATTAAATGTCAAAATCTTTCCAGTCTTGTTTTAGTATCTCAGTTGAATGCTAAAAGTCCAGGTTATTAATGAAAATGTGAAAGAGGCAAAAAAGAGGGGGGGACCACAATATTAATTTCCTATGTTTCAAAAAATTTTCTCTTCCTCATAAAAGCTCAAAAAGCTGTGGATACCTAATAAATGTTAATAGGGCATTTAACAGTTTATTAGTTGTTCTTGAAGTAGCTACTCAGGGGCCCACATGTCTTGCCATCTGACCTGTTAAGTCAGACTTAACTAAATCGTTAAATCCGAGGAAAATCTATCTGTAACCTTTCTTACAAAAATACTAGCCTAAAGGCAACAATATAATCCAAATAAAAGTATGAGATATACTCTGGTCCTTTCTAACACTGCATCTAAACATTATAAAATCAGGACCATTTGCAGTAAATGTGACTTTTGACCATAGGTTTTTAGGGCATTTTTTTAGTATTTAGTATTGTTCCTGCAATAGTTACAACCAACACTTTAAAACAAAATGCAAATACTAATTTTTTTTCTATATTAAGAAATATATTTTTGGCTTTTCCACATACAAGTACATGATTGATTGCCCAATAAGATTTGTTTTATACAATTTGAGTTTGCCCCTAAACTAAAATCACCCCTTTAACAGACATCACAGAATATTGTCCTCTAGTCCAACAAAAAAATAGCATGAATATTACAAAACGATTTGTCTTTAATTTTTTTGATTGCCACTCATCAAAGTGCTATTCCACATAACTCTCCTGGTGGCTGGTTGTCTAGAAGTCAAATTATCCATTCATCGGGTCCAAAGGTGAATGTCCATTTTACACACAAGACAAAACAACTTATGTTCAGATGCTTAGCTGCAGCCATGATGTGGGTGCACTCATGGTTCTCAAGGGGGTGGTTCCTGGGGTTAAGAACACCAGCATCACTCAGAAACTTACCATGCAAATATTCTCCCCCACCACACACCTACTGAGTAAAACTTTGGGGTGGAGGATCTGACAATCTGTGTTTAACAAGTTCTCCCAGGTGTTCTAAGTTTTCAAGCACTAACTGCACATTGAGTTTGTAAGCCACTGAATTAAATCAACTGTACTCAAAGATGAAGTAAATTATATAAATGAGAAAAAATAACACAGGTTAACTTTTGCTGTTGGTGCTGGTAAGATGAGTTCACAAGAATATGGGAACCAAGGACTAGGTCGCTCAGACCCCAGACCCCTCAGGGGACTAAAATGAAGAATTTAGGGAATGAAATGGGACTTGAAACTGGTTGAATTTCAAGTAAGAGATGGTTCTAACAGGACTACTGGAGACCAGCCCCTGCTGATTTCAGTCTACGTAGTTTTCTGTTCTCCTTGACTAAACTCGACTGGTTGTTATGTGGGTGACGACAGCTTGCAACTTGTTCTGTAAGGTGCCAATCCAGGCATGTTCTCTGCCAAACAGACCATGTGTCACAGTTGGCCAAAAGCCAATCAACGTGGCATCACTGCATCATTGTTAGTCAGATGGATCACAGTGCAAAACATTTTTAGTCTTTAAAAACAATTATCTTAAGAAAAAGAAATAAAAACTGAACTGCTGGTAATCACACTGGCCATTATCAGAAAAGCACATGCTATTTGGAACATTTCTTTTGTTCTGAGATGCTCCTCAGAGAATGATATGTCTCTATTCTATGATGACAAGAACAGTACACATGAGTACATTCTAGTGAGTAAAAGACTCGTTCACTCAAATGGAGAAGAGCCTTGGCTTATCATTAACACTGTTCTTCTCTGCAGCAGGTAATCAAATGATTTGATCACAGTTGTTCAGAGCTTAGAAAGGGTAACCACTGAATCATGCTGAGCTCTTCAGACTAGCATTAATAACAGCAAAAAAGGCACTTTAAAGTATATTTGACAAGGAGTGACACTAATACAAGAACTGGACTAAGTCCTGCACAACTTTGCCATAGTTCAAATAGATTGTATATTCTTTGTCTCCGTGTGTATGTGTGTGTATATACTCATATAGATAAGACAATCTGTTTTGATATGTATGTGCATATATGTATATATGTAAATGTTTATATACCAACTTTTATACACATATATACATGTGTAGACATGTGTGCGGTGTGTATCCGTAAGTCTGCAGATGGAAAAAAAAAAAACCGTTTCTCTTCCTTTTAATTTAATACTACACAAAAATTCTAGTCACTTTATTTAGAACAAAAATGAGAGAATTGGCAAATTAATGCAAAAATTACCCTACTAAACCTTTTTATGCACACACACACACAGAAAAAGCAGTAAAGTAAATATTCTGAATGATAGCCAAATAATAAAACCTAGCATTTCAGAAAAGCTTATTCCACTGCAGGGAACTGGGTGGACATATTTGGTACTGTAAATCTCACACTCACACATCCATATTGCTTAAGTTGAAGAGAATGGAATGAATAGAGGAAATTACTTCCATCAATTCCTTCCTTTCAGTACCCATGAATTTTTAGCTATGTTGTCATTCCACTTAGCTTAAAATATAAAAAAAGTCTTGTATAAATACATCTTTAGGATGTTGAAATTCTCTTGATATTTGCACAGAGTATTTAGAAGTTCTTAGAGGGTTTTTGCTAAATACATTTGGTCATATCAATCTACCGCACATCCTAGGGTTGCAGTTTTGACAGACAAAACCCATCTGTGTCAACAGTGGACAAAAGGCTGACTCTTCCTTCCCAGGAATGGGTGGACAGGCATGTTCTTATTCTTAGGACAGGAAAAAACAATTAGTAATGGCATTTAACGCTTAAGTACTAACTGTATAATGCCTGAGAACAAAATTCAAAGCAATTCTTGAAGCATTAAGACTCAGACTGTGGACATTTCCGTTTTTTAGCTGCTGGTTCCTCAGTCTTGTGTGATTCTAAAGTGCTTGCATTGGATTTGAGGCTGGTGTCTGCTTTAAGGTTGTCCATAGCAACAGTGAAGCCTGAGAGAAGGTATCCCCCACCTCCACTCATCAGCAGTTTGGGATGACTTCGATCTGGCAAAACCTAATCAAAACAGAAAAGACAGACATTCATGCTTTCCCAAGACAATCAAGTACATGAAAACAGAACACATGCCAAAAATGAGAATTTAAACCATGGATTCTCTTGATGATTTAAATGGTCCAATTTCTAAGAAGCCCATTAGTTTACATGACAGTGTAGAGAAGAGTACAGGAACTGGCTTAAGTGATTTTCTGTTGAAAAATAAACTGAAGCCTGTTTCTGGTGGGGAATGGGCAAATGGCTTGTACAGTACTCTGGGCCTTGTATATAGCTTTCTTCTTCTTGGCTCCAGGAAACTTCATAGCCAAGAATGGAGTGTGGGTTTATGGAGAAACAGCTACTGGAGGTACACTCAGAACCTCCTTTCCCTGCTACCCTGTTGATGCCAACGACTTCTTTTCTCCTGTTACCTCAGCTAAATAAGACGATCTCCATGAAGAGCAAGGTTACCTAAGCCTCCATAGCATCTGGACCACAGTATAACATACCAGGCTACCAGACAATACCTATGGCAGCATGCAGGCACTCCCCTCAGATCTCCCATCACAAGGGAACTGGCTGCAGGGCATTCGGGTAGCAGAAAGCCTAAAGCTGCTGCTCCTTTGGGATCTGCTTCATGTTCACAATGAGGGGGGTCACAGGCTGCTCTCAGTCACTAACTGAACATGGGTATGAGGGCTGGAGCACATCTGCCCAACACAGGGCTCCTTTATGGGGTGATCTTTGCTCCTGTGCTTCCCATCATCCTGGTTGAGACTTGCTCAGAGCAGCACTTCAGGTTCTTCCTACTCCACCTCCTCCATGCACAGGCATCAATCTTGCTCCCTTTCCCCTTATCTTTCAAAGGCATTTCCTCCAATAGATCTCTTACACTTAGACTTCCATCATGGCATATGTCTTTCAGAAGACTTGAACTGACACAGAGCTCACTAGTAAATCCTAAAAACATCCCTGTAAAGAAAGAGCCACTTTTACATCTACCTGGGGATTTTGCTATTGTCAATTACACCTTCCACAGTGGTATGAGGTCTTGGGGAATATGAACCACAACTGTTTGCATTTTAAATGCCTCTGGGCTGGAGTTACAGAATAATACGCTCTGCTCTGATATGAAAAGAGAAAAAGGGTCAGGAAAAATCAGAACATTTTCTCTGCGTACAGGCATGAGACTTCTCCACCTCTGGAGACAGGAACAGAGATATCTCTGTTTAACCACTCCAGTACTACTGCAACGATCCAGAACTCTGAGAGTGTTCTGGGACCTGGCTGTAAGAACACGTACCTGATAATTTCTAAGCCAGGTTTCAGACAGTCTGAGGTTGATGACCCCACCCCTCTCCCGCAGTTTTGTGTAGCACTCCAACAGAGGCTGCAGGCAAAAACAGGTACAAAGCTGTTAAGAATTACTTGCTGAGCTGCAGTCTGAGAATCAACACTCTGATGCAAGAATTTCCATCCATTTCACTATTACCTCTTTGTACTGACAGTAGACCACGAATGGCCTTGAAGGAGCCACAAAGTTCAGCAAAGACAGCAGCAGTGGGGTGGGATGGAAACGGCTTGCTACAATTAACCTGTTAGGAAAATATCAGACAAGTTATTTCTTTGCTCCCTCAACGTGGAGCAAAGGTTTTAAAATGCATTTAAACTGATCATGTATATGATTTGCATGACTCACACAGAATTTAAATATAACATTCTAGAAATCAGAAACAATAAAATCATGAGTTATTTCTTTCTAGGAATCAAAAACAGGGTTACCAACTCTTTTGGTGCTTGGCAAACTTAAGTAGCATTTGATGACAATCTTAACTTAAAAAAAAATCATCTGGGAATAAATCCAACACTGCATATGCTGCCGTGCAGATATCAGAATCTACCTCTTCTTGTCAGGAGGTTTCTCTAAGCCTATGCCTCTCAAATTACTTGAATGCCCCACCCCTGTACCTAGTGGAACGACACAGCCTCATCTAGTGCACTGTCATTAGAGAAGGTTCACATTTCATCCAAAACTCTTAAACCAGCGCAGTCAATTTCCCACCTCTGCCAGACCCAGCCTCCTTTCCTTCTCAACCCAAGGCAGAATACTCATCTCAGGTCCCACGAGAATCACGGCAGACCAGCAGAAAGAGAATGCCAATCTGTTTAAAGTAGAGCCCACATGCACCAGGAAGTCTCCTGCCTTCTTTTACCAACGCACCCGTCTGCATTTCTTTCACTCAGCAGAGCAGCAGCCTCTAAACGTTTTTTCCTCTGCTCTTCTTGTCTCCTTTGTTTTTCCTGAATCTTCAAGAAGAAAAATAAGAAACTAACGTATTGGGGTCATTCAGGGTTATGGAAATGCTCTAGTCTGTCAAACCATTTCAAAAATATTGATCAATTTGGACTAAAGCAATAGAAGGAGATTATTTATAAGAAAGCCAACCCTGAATTGTACCCCACATCTTTAAAATTAAAAAGAAAAAAAAAGAAAGCCTATATGCTATAAAACCATCATCAAGCTACCTATGCAATGCTTCTGTATACTAAAGCTCCACCCCAAAGATTAAATCACACACTTGCGTACATGAACGCACACTCTTTCTCTAGCTGTTTTGATATTCATCATCTTGGGAGCTGATGCTCCACAGCCAAACATAATCTTATTCCTTAAATGAAGTTAACTGAGGCCCTGAGGAGATTATTATGATAGTGGTGGGGGCTCCCAGCATTCTTACATAATCTTTTTTGCCTCCTCTCTCTTTGGGCTCCTTGTGTTCTGGATCTTGAGAAATGGCTTCCATTGTTTCTTGTTCTTCTGGATGATTGCTCTCTGGGGCCTCTGCCATGCTGTCTTCATTCTCTTGCTCAGAAGTCTGTTTTTCCTCAAGTGTGCCATTACTTTCTTCAACTGAAGCACTGTCTTTTGGCTCAGAAGATAACATCTCAGCAGAAAACGTTCCATTTAGGAGACTGTCCACTTTATTGAGGGGGAATTCATAAAGACCACTGAGGAAAGACTTGGGAAATCCAAAACATGCTGTTGCTGCCCGAACAGGTTCACCTCCAGGGTACAGCTGAATAATAGAGCCGAAACCTGAACAGATGAAAGGAACAAACATCTGCTGATGGAGGGAACTCTAGACTATGCAAACCCTCAGTGAGTCCTCCACAGTCATAAGATAAAGGTCTTTCTACTTTATTCAGAGACTGAAGATGACACAGTTCCTCTGGGGACCAGTTTGGAGTCTCTGAATATTCACAGTGGAGGTAACATAATTCCAAAACAGGTAAACATGAAATCTTAAAGAAGCTTACCCCCACTGGACACTACTGTAAAACCCTGTGGTCTTGCAAATTTGGATGTCTCATGACTAGTGATTGACTCTGTTTCCTCTCACTTCAATCCTCAAAGGCAGCAGTTATAAGTTCTTATCCTCCATGGGGTCAAAGAAAGGACAGGCGCTTCAGGCTATGCAGTAGTCTTCCAGGAAAGACTTCAAGTTTAGTAATTTCCCTCTGAATCACCTCAACTCAAGCCAATACAATGAGCACCAACTACCCAACAGTTTACTGACATCACTGTCCTGGAAGTCCTAGCCAGCCACAGCCTCCAGCATCACACCCATTGATAGTAAGGCTGAACAATCACCACAGGGGACCTGGGGGTTATAAACAACACAGCCTAACTGTGGGCATGTGGACTGTGAATGCAGGTCCCTGGGCCAGGAGCTATGCAGGTTCTCCCAAGTCACTCCATTAACTGCCAAGTAACTCAATCAGTTTGCCATGAGTTTGAATTTTTGGATTCCTTTACTCACACTAAGGTGGGCTTTTACTGAACTTGAAATATTAAATCTTACCTCCCATCCGTTCCATCATTGCACCCAGCACCAAGCCTGCACATGTTTCCATTACAATCATTTTGTTGCCAGCACGGATATTTCCCAATGTCAACATCTGGGCTAGTGTATCGTACCTCATGTGGCTAAGATAAAAAGAATAATTCATTCATTTTTAGCTAAGTAAAGCCTGCCATTTTAATAATCATTTTTCAAGTTTTGTTTGTCTTATAAAAATTATGTTGATAAGAGTATTGATTGCTTTGAAGGCAACAGCAAAAGGACTTACAATTTATGAGGTAGGAGGACACTTTATGCAGGTGAGCAAATTTTTCATTTTACTTAAAATCATGACTTTCTTAAAGATATATTTTTCCCCCAATAATACTTTTGAAAGGAAACAAAGCGTACTTAATTTTTCCAGGTTCTCTTGCATAATACATAATTGAAAGAATACGGGTGGATGGTTTCACAACAGTAATGATAGCTTCATATCTGAGGAAAGAAAAAACAAAATACCAATTTGAAAAAGAGACTTAAAATCTTTTATTCTTAATTATATATATTATAAATATATAAGGACTTAATATTTTCCAACTTTTCAATCAAAAGCCACTTACTTCTTTTTCTTCTTTTTTATATATTTATCTTGAGCAAATTCTGTCTTGTCTCGGAATGTTGTACTATTTTCAATTAACTGCTGAACTATTTCCTATAAGAAAAGGAGCAAGTAGATTTTCTGAAACTTTATTTTCACAGAACAGATAACTTCAAAGGTTTCTTACCCCAGGATGCATCCAACGGTCTGATTCTCCAGTTCCCTTTCCACAGAAGTCCAAATAGATGTACTTTGTATTTCTATATTCTTTAGAATTTGTAATAGAATACAAGTACCTAACAACTTCATTCAAACCAAAGTAAAAGAACAGAGATCACAATAAAGGGAGAAGAAAGGTAAAGGAAACTCATTTCTGAAGATATTGGCTGAGAACATTACTGAAAATGATCCAAGTTAAGTCCTAATATGTACCATTATTAAATTCTCCACTGCTAATATTAGTAATGTCATTCACTTATATTTCTGTATGTAAGAATCAAGATCTTTGATATATTGAATTGCATGTACATTTCAACCTATTTCTAACAGAAGTATAACATTATTTTTCCATTTTACCTTAAGTAAAGTCTGCCTTAAAAACCAATTTCCTAAACACTTAACAAACAAAAACAAAACAAAAAATCCTTTGACTATTACCTCTCCTTTAATGCCCTTGTCCTTCAAAGCTTTTATGTCATCTTGAGTAAGTTTCTGAGATTTCCCATCATCAACTATATTTCGATTATCAGTGCCCGCTTCTTTAGTCTCTAAGGAAAGAAATTGCTTTATGACATGTATAGTCTGATGCTATTTTACGATCTTTCTTTTTTTTAAGTTCATATCCACATCCAACCCAACGACCACAAAAGTCTGGCCTCCCCATCCCACTGCTTCCACCGCAGTCCCCTATCCTTTCTTGTCACAATGACTCCAAGCCTCTAGCTCATCTTCCTGTTCCCATCTTGCCCCTCTAATACTACCCACTAGGATGTCAGAGTGCTCTTTTCTTACATGCAAATTGGCTCATGTGCTCTGATGCTTAAAACCACACAGCCAAGAGAAAACACTCCAAAGATGACCTGCAAGGTTGCATATGACCTGGTCCCTGCTACCTTTTCTGGTCATCTCTTGACTTCTCAGCTTCAACAACATTGCCTTTCTTTTGGTCCCTTGAACACACCTAGTAAGGTGCCACAGCAGGCTTTTGGCACTTGCTGCTCCCTCTGTCTGGAAAGTTCTGACGACAGATCTCTGAGTGGCTGGATCTCTTTTCTTTTTTTTTTTTTTGAGTTGGAGTCTCACTCTGTCGCCCAGACTGGAGTGCAATGGCCGCTCCCGGCCACTGCAGCCTCGATCTGCTGGGCTCCGGTGATCCTTCCGCCTCAGTCTTCCGAGTAGCCAGAATTACAGGCACATGCTACCATGCCCGGCTGATTTTTTTGATTTATTGTAGAGATGAGGTCTCACCAAGTTGCCCAGGTGGGTCTCGAACCCGCGGGCTCAGGCATTCCACTCACCTCAGCCTCCCAAAGCGTGGGATTACAGGCTGAGCCACCGAGTCCGGCTTTGGATCTCTTTTCTATCACTCAAGGCTGAGCTCACACTCTCAGCAAAGCTCACCTCACCCAAACTGGCTCCAGTACACGCCCCTGCTTTATAATCTTCACAGCGTGTATTGCCATCAGAAATTATGCTGCTTGCATCTCTACTTGATTATTTTTGATGTTCCCTCCTGGTAAGTACATTTTATAAGACAGTCTATTTCAAGAACTGCTACACTCGTAGTTATACTTGGCAGATATTTAGTGCTCAGAAAACATGAATGTTAAATTAAAAGTGTTTAAATAACTGGTTTGAAGAAAAACCTTAATAGTATTTTAATTACTCAACTTTAAATTATTACTTAAATGTTTTCATTTTATTATTTTATTAAATCTGTTCACTTTAATAATTTTAATTAGTAATAATAGCTTTTGGACAAGAGGTTGTTGTTAATAGTGAGCTAGAGCCAGAATCTAAGTTATGTCATGGCCAAGGGTAGTACTTGTCTTGTTCCACTAAGCTACAGTTCTTAGATTATAAGTTAAGATTTCTTTTGGGATAGCCTGGGCTAGCACTTTGGAATTTATTGGAGGTTGACATGTTTCTGACTAGTCAGTTGGAGAGCATCTATTGAAGACATCCAAAATAGTGCACCTGAAGTGGGCTCTTCCTTCTTCTTCTTGGGTTGCAGACTTCCTCCACTGGTCACTTCAAATGTGGTTCCATAACTGTGGCCAATGACATTATCCAGGTAGAACCACTGTTTTTCAAAAGTTACTTTTCTGTGGAAGAAAAAAAGTCAATTAGCTGAAAATTTTTTATGTTCAGTATAGAAGAGACATGTTCATTATAGCTTTTTTGAAAAGTGGTCTCCACAATGGAAAATCAGCAGAATTATCCCTGAACACAAAGCAACAAATACTCTAGAGAGAACCAGGGCTGGGGGAGAGACTAGAATTAATAAAGAAAAGAGAAAAACAATACATTTTGGAAAGAAGAAGCAAAGACAGAAGACATTTCCTTTCTGAAACACTAGTCTGACCTCACTCTGCATTGTTTACCAGAATGTCCAAACTCACAGCCTCTGCAGATTTCCTGAACTGCAGGTAGGGTCACCAAGACTGCCATGCCACTGGACATACACTGTGACACCCCTTGCAACTCACCCCAGAAAAATCTCAAAACTGAATAACCATTGAGACAAGATTAAACAAACTATCTGGGCTTGGTCTAACTAGGTGTTTTATCAGAATATTATCTAATAAAAGCAAATTATATTTGTAAATAAACATTATCAACACTCTACAAACCAACCGTGCTGCCCATTGAAAGGGGACTGGATAAAAAATATGTGGTACATATGCGCGATGGAATATTATGCAGCCATAAAGAAGGACAAAATTATGAACCTTGCAGCAACTTGGATGGACTTAGAGTCATAATACTCAGTGTTCTATCACAGAAACAAATAACTGAGTATCACATGTTCTCACTCATAAACGGACCTTGAACAATGATTGTAATACTATAAGAAAGGGATTGGCAGTAGTGGGAAACTGCCAGGGGTGGGAGATGGGGGGCACACCTCATCAACAAGGGTATCTGCATAATGAACATGTGTATATCTAACCCTAAATTGTACCCCATATATTTAAAATAAAAAAATTAAAAAAAAAACAATCTACAGATTTGGAAATGGAAACTTATACTGACAACAATCTTCTGAGGACTAGGCAATTTGAGGTTTTCCTACGACCCAGATTTTTATCTTATTGAAATTTAAAAGGAAAATTCCACAAAAACACAAACTTTACTCTCAAAAGTAAACTAACATCTGCTGAATGCCAGTCAGGGCTAGGCAGTCTGTGCCAGTGATGTTTCATACTCTGATTTAATTCTCAAAGTAATCCTGGAACATAGTTCTTTTTTAGAAGCGCAATTTGAAGCCCAGGAAGAAGTATCTTGTTCCAGAGTCATAGTTACAAGGTGCTGGAGCTAGGATCCAAATCCAGGTTCGTTCCACTACACCATACCACTTCAGGTGCACTATTTTGGATGTATGAAATAGATGCTCTGCAACTGACTAGTCAGAAACATGTCAACCTCCAATAAATGCCAAAGTGCTAGTCAAGGCCATTCCAAAAGAAATCTTAACGCAAAGACCAAGGAATCTTAGGAAGCCCACGTAGCATCAGGACATGGTCCATGTGCACAGAACACTAAATTCTGGGATACATGTAGTGGTTAATTCTGTTTTTTCCACACCTCACTCCTTCTCTCCTCTTTGTGTCCCTGGAGGCTAACCATGACAGAAAGCATTGCCACATCACATAGGCTCCCATGTCAAAGTCTTACCACCATTGCCAGTCCCTGAGTGCATCACCTTTATTAATTTCCTAAATCCTGCCACATCTTTGTATGTGTCACATCTTCATTAAAGCTTACTTAAACCATGTGAGCAAAATCCTGCATGATCCTAGGTGATCCAGATAGGGCCAATTCTTGCCCTTTGTCAGGTCTCCAGATACTAGCACATAACAAAACATAACAGACACTGTATTTACTAACATAAATCCCCTCACAAGTTGAAACTCAAATCAGCCCAGATGTGCACCCCCACCCCCACATCTCATCATTCAAACACCTTGGTGCTATCTAAACACTGGATCTGAGATGGGTTGGGTATATCTCTCTACTAGTTTAAGTGCAAAGAAGGTGAAGGATTTTTCACTCAAACTGGCTGGTCTGACAGGTCACTGCCCCCGTCAGAGGAATGTGGGGCTACATCTTCACTGGGAAGAAGTAGGATTTACAAAGTCTCCTTCTTAGAGAGCCAGGACTGCTTCTGTCCAATCAGATGAGTACAGACCGGAGGAAAGGGGGATGGGGGAGTCTGGCCTGGAGTGTAACTAAGCTCAGAAGGTTATTTTCTAAATAAAATGGAAACTGCCACTATTGCTTCTGCCAAGAAGAGGCCTGATGAAAAGAATTTCCAAATAAATGTCTAAATAGTACTTTTCAACTAAAGATGCTGCTATCTCCTTGGTACAGAAGAAGTTCTTATCTAAAAGAGTACATTATTAAAAATGCAAACAGGCCAGGCTCGGTGGCTCAGCCTGTAATCCCAGTACTTTGGGAGGCCGAGGCGAGTGGATTGCCTGAGCCGGTGGGTTCGAGACCTCGTCTCTACAATAAATCAAAAATTAGCCGGGCATGGTAGCACATGCCTGTAGTTCTGGCTACTTTGGAAAGCTGAGGCGGAAGGATGGCCGGAGCCCAGCAGGTCGAGGCTGCAGTGGCCGAAGTGTGCTACTGCACTCCAGTCTGGGCGACAGAGTGAGACTCCAACTCAAAAAAAAAAAGTGCAAACAACTACATATGAAAGCTGAGCAACTTACAAGGACAATATGAGAAAGAAAAGAAAGAAAAAAGTTTCACCTGGATGGTCATTACATAGATTGGTTCATTCATCAAACTTATAAATTAACCCAACCACCCCAATATATTTTCACCATTAATAAGCTGTCATGTTTTAGCAACCTCACCAACCCTCCCAGAAACTTATCAAAATCCCACTTCTCCAGTACTAAAACAGTAATACTAGTCAGCAGGTGCACAAACCAAACCTAATCCTGAGCTCTGAGACCTCGAGCAAATTGCTTTTGAGCAATTTTCTGGACCTTGAATCCCTTGGTGTAAAATGAGGGAACTCCAAAGTGATCCTACATTCTACGGGAAAATGTCTCTTTTCCCTATTCCCCATATCCTGTTTGGGTAGACAGAAAAGGTCACAAAGCCAGACTAGCTGGGAGAGATTTCATTTTTTATTGGGTAGATTCTGGTTGAGGGATTCGGGAGGAACGAGGATCTATGGGGGGAAATGGGGGAGCCGAGAGGACAAGAGGCAAGGATGAGACCCCAGAGTAAAGAGGAAGGGTCTGTCAGAAGATCCCAAGGACTTAGGGGTAAAAACCCCAGGATGGGGTGGCGGTGGGCGGGAGAGGGAAGCATTCGGGCATTCGCGGGCTAAGAATGGAATTCTGGGGAAGGGATTCTGTGGAAAGTCTGAGAGGGAAGCTGAAGGTAGTCAGCCAGGTATAAAACCATGGAGGGGAAGTTTGTGGGAAGACAGGAGGGGTAGGAGGCATTCGAAGGGCTGAGGACGGGATCCTGGTGGAAAAGCTCTCTCTGACAGGATCGGGATCGAGAGCCAAGAACGGGACCCTGATAGGAGGGGTTTGGAGAGAACTGGGTGGGGGTGGAGGGGAGACATCTAGAAGGTGGGGACGGGGGTCCCGACTTACTTTCTCCGCTGGACTTGCACTGCTTTGAACACATCTTCCCGTTTCAGCACCACGAAGTCGCCGTCGTGGATGCAGTGGCCCCCGGGATGCAGTGGCTGCGGGCCCGGTTGCTCCCCTGAACCATCCATAACGCTCAGCCGGTCTCCCTGCTCCGCGGTGTCCCTCCAGATCCCCGCGGCCTGTCCCTCCTCTTCCGCTGTTAACCACCAGCCTGGCTTCCCACAATCCGGGGGACCTGGACCCCTTCGACCGGCACCGCCCCCACGTGTTGCACGCCGCTTCCGCTTTCCAGTCCAGACCTCAGGACCGCTTCCGGGAGCCTGGTGGCGTCCTTCCGGTCAAACTCATTGATTGGCTGCTCTCCGCCCCGCCCCTTCCGCAACGCCACTTTCTTTAACGGAAGTTGCGTCACAGAAGCGTCAAAAAAAGAATTTAAAGAAGCGGGCTTGATTCTGAGGTGCGGTTGCGACAGGTTCTCGAGCCTTTGCCACAGATAGAGTCTCACTTCGCATGGGGACGTCAAGAGAGCTGCTGCTGAAGAGAACCACAGACCTGGCAGGGGTCACCCGAGGAACTCAGATTTCGGAGACTTCTCCTTAGTCCTGAGGTGCGTCCCCACCGGAGGGAGGGAGAAACTGGCGGGACATATCAGGGTGTACCCCGGAGCCGGCCCAGTTGTGAACTGGCAGAGCTTTGGGACCTCCACCCTAAGCAAGTAAGAACTTAGCCTCAGGACAGGTAAATAAAGAAGATTATTTAACGAAGCACAGCTGCCCGTGGGTGGCTCTTTTACTCCTTTCCCAGTCCCATCTCTTACATTTGTGTTGGTGTTACTGTTCTCACCAATTATCTTGTCTGTCAAGGGTATGGCGCCTAGCGTTGTTGAGGGAGGGCCTCAACTTAGGAGCCTGAAGGGTTTTGATCTCTGTACTGCCACCAAACGACTTTGAACTTCATCAGTTTCCTTAATGTCTCTGAGCTTCGGTTTCGTACTGTGTAATGTCTGATTAGTTATCAGAGTTCTGTCGTCCTCCCAAATCTTGAACTTTTTAGTTATTAACTTATCAACTAAATCCCTTCAAATAAAGATTGGGATAGGTTCCGTTGTAATGAATTGAGTTACAGCTACAGATAAATTATGTATTTGTGTCCTTAGGATAGGAATTATTTTTTAAGTAGACCTTGTTTTTTATAACACTTTTAGGTTTACAGAAAAATTGCACAGAAAGTGTTTGTAAGGAGATGGTGTATCCCTAATGTCTCACAGGCCAGGATTATGTCCATCCTGTCCTGCTCTGTAAGTCTCAAGCACAGCAAACAGTCTTAGAGTTGATTACCTGTCTTGTTTTCATTTATTTAGTGGGGTCTTCTTGAAAATCTTTCCTTATTTTTAGCCCATGAGCATCTAGTATTTCTAATTAAGCTTTATTTAATAGTTACTAAATTTTAAGGTACACTGTGGTATACCTTTAAAAGCAATGGAGAGTAGCAGAATCTCCATCAGTAGAATGTTTGGGTCTTGTATCATAGGTGTATAACTTTGCAAGCCTGGTTACTAGTATGAAACCTAGAGTATAATACTTTTTCTTTTTTTACTGCATTAATACATTTTTACAAGCATTATTTTCCCTACAGTTTTGATGAGACTTTTTTCATCTCTATCTTTTAGAAGCCATGAATGGAGAGTATAGAGGCAGAGGATTTGGACGAGGAAGATTTCAAAGTTGGAAAAGAGGGAGAGGTGGTGGGAACATCTCAGGAAAATGGAAAGAAAGAGAACACAGACCTGACCTGAGTAAAACCACAGGAAAACATACTTCTGGTAGGTGAGGTCAATGATTATTCAAATTTTTTTTTTTACTTCATGAAGAAAGCAATTCTTGTCTATCATATAAAGTAGTTTATTTCCAATTTCAGGCTATCTTTTATTTGATGCTACTCCCTAGCAGGTATTTGAACATTAATGTCCCAAATTCTTACTGAAACTTCTAATTTAGATACTTTTAATGTTATATCAGGTTCTCATTTGGAAGGAGAAGCAAATTGGGAGGAAATGTTTGCTGTTTCTGCTAACCTAGTATTCTATTTTTTTCAGGACAAACACCACAGTCTTTGCTACTACAGTCAACATTGGATCAATTCATACCATATAAGGGCTGGAAGCTTTATTTCTCTGAAGGTAGAGTCAAAAGTGCAAAAGCACCATAAATTATATTTTCTTAACTTGTTTGTAGCTATTAAATCTCATATTACTATAATTCATTTGGCTTACTGATATATACCCCTTTAATCTTGTTCAACCAAATAGTTAAATCATGTTATTTTTCAAGAGCACTATTTTTATGTTTTATATTAGTCAGGAAAACAGAAACCACACTAGTTATTTCAAAAGGAGATCAGTACAGGGAGTTAGATATATAAGTGGAAGACTGAAAGAGCAGAAAGGAAACATTGAAGTAACTCTCCAGAGTAGTAACTTGAGGAAATAGCAGCAATCCTCATGGCTGAGGAAACCAAAGTTAAGGTCTGCGGTTTACAAGAACGTAGGAATTCAAAGGTGGGGGAGAAAGCACAGTATAACTGTTGCTTTAACCTCTAAGGGGCACCCTACAAAACTCTGTTTGGACTTCTGAAAGCTACCCTACAGAGCTGTGCTGTAAGCTACCCTACAGAGCTGTACAGATCACTGAGGTGAATGAAGGTGGTTGCCACTGGTATCTGAGGGGCCATGACTCATTTGGTGCTGGGAGCTGGAGGCTATAACTGTAGCTACCTTTTGTAGCTGCAGAGGTGATGAAAACAACTGGAAACATGGATGAATTTCTCTCTCACTTACTGCTACTCTCCATCTCTAAAGTGCCTGCAACTGGCAGAAGTTAAAAGGGAATCTGAGAAATGTAGGGTATAGATCTTGATCATAGCATTCTAGACCAGAGAATAGAACAGTAGACTTGGAACCAAGAGACAATAACCAGCACAGCTTTGCATAGAAACTCTGTTAAGGAACCTCCCTTTGATCATCAAGAGCACAACTAGTGCTGGGTGCAGTGGCTCACGCCTGTAATCTCAGCACTTTGGGAGACTGAGGTGAGAGGATCACCAGAGCCAACGGGTTTGAGACCAGCCTGGGCAACTTGGTGAGACCTCATCTCTACAATAAATAAAAAATTAGCTGGGCATGATGGCATGTGCCTGTAGTTCCAGCTACTTGGAAGGCTGAGGCAGAAGGATCACCTGAGCCCAGTAGGTTGAGGCTGCAGTGGCCATGAGCAGTGTGGCCACTGCACTCCAGCCTGGGCAGCAGAGTAAGACTCCACTCAAAAAAACCAAAACAAAACAAAAAAAACACCAGTTGATATACCTCTGTCCATCTCCGTGTGGGGAATTGTCTTCTGTGTTCTTAAAATATCTGTTTTTTTATGTCTCTTGAGGTATGGGTTTTATGTATGTATCTTTTTCCCACTAGACTATACTGCTTAAGGTCAAGGACCGTGCCCCATATCAGGCACTCAGTATTCATTTTGTGAATAAATAGAGTACTTTACAAATGTTTTCTCTATTGGGAGTCTGTTTTTCTGTTGATGGACAGGTATGTTTCATAAGTGATCTGTTGTTGCTTTGGGAAGCATTAGCTACCAACACTCACATTGTTCTCCAGCAGATAGCTCAGAAAATTATAAGTGATATTTGGACCTGTCCTAAAGATGGAGTTCAAGAGGTGCCTTAGGGTTGACCAACTGTGCTTCAAAACTACTTCATTGCACTGCTTATGTGTCTGACTTTGGCTTTATTATAACTTATTGTGTAAGCTTTTTGAACTAATGTGTGCTGTTAGGTGTCGAAGATTCAGCATGAAGTTTCTCAGCTATTGGGGTTTTTATAGAGAGATACTTCCTGTCTGCATTTCAGATTACATAGACCTAAACTTGTTTTAGAATCTTAAGTGTATATTCTGTATCATTTATTATCCAAATGTAATCAGAATATAAAGCAATTAGAAAAAAAATCTGTTGTGTATATAGTGTTTCTTCTGTTTCATGAAAAATATGCTTGTACGTGTGTAATTATTGGTGCTAATGCCATATTTCTTGGATTAGTTTACAGTGATAGCTCTCCTTTTATTGAGAAGATTCAAGCATTTGAAAAGTTTTTCACAAGGCATATTGATTTATATGACAAGGTAAGATTCCTTTACAACAGAGCTACCAGTCTACTCTTATGTGTTGTCTTATTGTATTTGAGGTGCTGGTGATTGTGATAGGAACTGGAGTCAGACTGTCTTGGTTCAGACCCCAGCTCTGCCACTTAACCTGTAGTGTGGACTTTGATGAATTGCTTAACTTATCTGTGCCTCAGTTTTCTCTTTCAGTTGAAGATAGTAGTATAAACACCTACCTCAAAGGGTTCTTAAGAGGCATAAATAAGTTAATATATTTAAAATACCAGAACCATGCATAGCATGAAGCTTATACTTACATTGTACTTAACATTATTTCCATGCAAATGTTATTTGCTTTCTCAAAGTGAATGCTCAGTTATGATAATTGATACCAAACAAGCAATTATTGTTCCCATACTTTTATATTTTATAGGATGAAATAGAAAGGAAGGGAAGTATTTTGGTGGATTTTAAAGAACTGACAAAAGACAATGAAATAACTAGCTTGATACCAAATATAGCAAATGAACTGAGAGATGCGCCTGAGAAAACCTTGGCTTGCATGGGTTTGGCAGTACATCAGGTGAATATTTTATGCAAATTTTGTCTAAATTATAAAGAAAGATTTTACAGTGATGGTACCTTCTCTAAAGAATACTTAGCTTTTACCAAAAGATGTTGGTAAGTACACAAAGATTGCACTCCTGTCCTAATAGATGCCATTTATTCTATGTATAATTGCTTACCTAAATAAAATATCTGCCTCTGATTTATTTGGATTTGCTTAATCTTGCTTAAGATTGTGCAGAAATTAAACCTTGTTTTCAAGGAGATATGCAGTCTCATAGGGATAATAAGACAAGGCATCAGTCGGGCGTGGTGGCTCACGCCTATAATCCCAGGACTTTGGAAGGCTGAAGTGATAGGATTGCCTGAGCTCACAGGTTCGAGACCAGCCTGGGCAACTTGGTAAGACCTCATCTCTACAATAAATCAAAATATTAGCCAGGCGTGGTGGCGCACACCTGTAGTTCCAGCTACTTGGAAGGCTGAGGCAGAAGGATTGCCTGAGTTCAGTTGGGCGACAGAGTGAGACTCTGACTCGGAAAAAAAAGACAAAGCATCATGGTTTTTTCAG